GTTCTTAATTTCTAAAATATGTGAAGAGTTCCTAACTCTATCTCTGAAGATAGAAACAAATTTTTCATAGATGATCTGACAGTTAATATAGTGTGTGAAGTTAAATGGGCCTTGATTCTCAGTGGGTTGGTAATTATAAAACAGGCGTGGCCCATGATCAGATCTGTTATCATGCAATCATCTCCATGCTGTATTGCATACCAATCCTGTGAAAGAGGAGCCTGCCATCTAACATGTCAACCTGGAATTCACTTGTCTGCTGTCTGACCTGTGATTAGAACTTACTACCCTCTACAACCACAGGAACCATTCTGTAGATAAACGTCTCTCTCCCTCCTCTTTTCCTCTCTCTCCATATTTATATAAGCTTCACTGGTTTTATTTCTCTAGAGAACCAACCTAAAACAACATCAATTCATTGGTACCCATGTGTCAGTAATTGTTGCACTTGCTTTCACCTATATAGTTAGTATATCATTACCCTAAAATGTAGGTTTTATATGTCATAAATTCCTTTGACCACATAGTCTTATCCAGGAACATAATTTTGACATTATGTCACAATAAACCATGATGTAACTTTCCTGCTAAAAAATCATTAATGACTCACAAATATGTATTGATGTTTTATGTCTTATTCAATGTGAATTCAGCTCACTTATTACTGTATATGACCCGCAAATTCTCAGTCACAAATCCCCTATTCTGATAATGCTGGTATATACAGTGCCCATGTATCTCTTAAATATGTCTTCCATATTATACACATGATCATTTTCCAAAAAATAATAGTATAATTTTTATGGTGCTTGATATGTAGGTAAGGTATATAATTGTCCCCTCACCATCTGCCTAGTTGCTAATGGACATAATAGCTACTAATAGACATACAGTATGTGCTTTAGGGGGAAAGAATTGCTCTCTCAAGACTCCCAGAATTCTCTTAGACTACCTTCATCGAGCAAAGGACAAAGGGTTCTTTTCTAGTGCTTTTAAATCTAGTTTACTCTAAACAGGGACACTAAATGACATCTACTGAGATCATAAGGGAACTTCTACTTTTATTACCCCATTTTATTGCCCCATGAAACCCTGGTGGTTACTTGGTTATGACCCTAAGGTCAGCAGTTCGAAGCCATCAGCTGATCCTAAGGAGAAAGATGAGGCTTTCTGCTGTCATAATGAGTTATTATTGTAGTTAGATGCCATCTAGTCAGTTCAGACTCTTAGTGACCCTGTGTACAACAGAACAAAACACTGCCTGGTCGGTGACATACTCTCAGTTACTCTGTGTTCAAGTTCATCAATGTCGTGTCAGTCAATCTCGAATCTTTCTCACGTTCCCTGCGCCTACTTTACCAAACATGGTACCAGTCCTTCTCCAGGGACTGGCCTCTTCTCACAGGTCCAAAGCACATGAGATGAAGCCTTCAGCTGGGCTTCGTCCATAGAAATTGGTGTCTTCTTTTGGCAGTCCATGATACTTTTGCTACTCTTCGCCAGTATCACGATTCGAATGCATGGATTCTTCTTAACTCTTCCTTAATCAGCGCCCAACTTTCACATGCACCTGAGGCCATTGAAAAGACAATGGTTTGAGTCAGATGCACGTTGGTCCTCAAAGTAACACCCTTGCTTTTCAACGCTTTAAAGAAGTCTTGTGCATCACATTTACCCAAGTCAATACATCATTTGATCTCTTGACTGCAGTTTTCATGAGCATGGATTGTGGATCCAAGCAAGACAAACTTCTTGACAACCTCAATCTGTTCTCCATTTATTGTGATATTAACTACTGGTGTAGTTGTGAGAAATTTGGTTTTGTAATCCATACTGAAGGTTGCAATCCTTGATCTTCATCAGCAAGAGCTTCAATTCCTCCTAACTTTTAGCAAGCATGGTTGTGTCACCTGCTTATTGCAGGTTATTTAAAAAGCCTTCCTCCAATCTTGATGCAGCATTCCCCTCTTTATAATCTGGGTCTTTTGTAGAATTAGTCTTGGAAACCCACAAGGGAGTTCTAGCCTGTCCTGCAGGGTCGCTATAAATGGAAATGGACTTGCAGGCAGGGAGTTTGGGTTTGGGAGCTTATCACACCAAGGAGTCCTCGGGTATAGTTGGACTGCTAGCTATGAGGTATTCTGTTTAAAACTACTAGCTCTTCTACAAGAGAAAAATTAGGCTTTTTGCTCCCATAAAGATTTACAACCTCAGAAACTCTAGGAAGCAGTTTGACTTACCCTATACAATCTCTATGAATTCAAATGTGCTTGATGGCAGTGGGTTTGGTTTGGTACAGTTTGGTTTCTTGTCCTTTCTTCCACCTTCTCTCTGCATATGCTAGTTGACACATAGGCATAGCTATAAAAATAGTATTTAATTCAAGGAAAAAGAAACTTAAGCTTCCTCCTCCCAAGACATGAGCCAGGGTCTGCTTGGATACTATCTAACCCTATAGGCAGATGATGCTTAATTTTGAGATACCTAAGTTGATGATGACACATGAGTTGATGAGTAGACACAATAGTCTACTTATTCCTATCCAATTTATTCTGTAAGTAAAAGACTTATTTTGATCATGCCATTAGAACTGTCTGCTCTATGCTCTACTCCAAATGAACTTTCCTGGAGAATTTATTAATAGTGTGACATTTCATATGGATAGTTAATGTCTTTTAGTTTAGTCAATTCAAATCACAAATCTTTGTTTAAAGGTACATCAGTACATTATCCTACAAAAAGTTCACATGAATAAATTCCATTAAGGATATAAAATTGTTTTATAAGATGTCAAATAAAATTAATAACATCTTAAAATCTGACAATTCAGTTTTTACAACCATATTTTCACTCAAGCTAAATTGTATAATGATTTATTGTATTTATTTTATTTAATATGGATCACTTTAAAATTAATCAGTTTTTCTGTGTAGTTATATATATAATCACAAACTATTTAGTAGATTGACATTAATATACTTATTAAGAAAAGTATTAACAGAAGTTATACAGTGTTGAATAAAAGCAATAAATCTCATTGAAAAACAATGTAATCTATATATATATTCATTCTAGTCAAAAACAGAATAGCTAATGCTTTATGAAATGACAAATTAAAATAACTTACTGTAGTAATAAAGAATTTATGGAAGAGATGACTGAAATAAACAATAATCTACTTCTTAGTGTGTCTTGTAGTTTTATGATTCATCACTTTTATTTCTGAGCATAATGCTTAAATTAAAGTTGAATTCTAGTTTATGCTGAACCCTAAACATTCAATTAATACTTTCTATTTTACTATTTATCAGACATATCTTCAATTTGATAAAATAGCACTGGTGGTGTTATGAAAACCACAGAATCTCCCCCTACATAAAATTGAGGGAAGGGAGGAAAGTGGTAACTAAACAGAATGCTTGGCAGAGAGGAGTATAGAAAATCAAAGGCAAAAAGCTGACCTGAACAGTTAAATCTTTGTAAATAGATCTCCCCGTATTATGTGGGCTGGACCTGACCTAGTTTCCAAAATTTTCTATAGTTTTGGTTTGTATTGTTTTCTTTGGTTTTTGTTTGTTCATATCTTGGCAGAGGTGTACACCAATGGCAGTCACCCCCTTGAAGTTCTATTATATGCTTTTCCATTCTCCTAGGTATATGAAGCCTAGGATCAAAGAACCTAGTGGGATAGCAAGTAGAGTAAGGGGTTTGGGGAAAAGGAGGGCAAAAGGGAGACAATGTCAAGGAGTCCTTGTAGAAAAAGAATATTTCGAAACTGATTGTGGTAGCAATTGTACCTTCTACTTGACGTGACTGAAATTTGGAATGATGTGATATATGTATTAAATCCCAACTAATAATTGAAAAAAAAAACATTTTAAGAAGAAAACCAAATGAGGGTTTCTGGGAGTAAATTAGACAATTATTCCTTCAGATCATTTGTGTGATATTATTTATACTTCAACAAAAGTATGTTCAAAATAAATATATAACTATTTAGTTAAAAGAAATGTTATATAATATGTCTTATGTTCCACAGAATATAAAAAATATGTCCACTTATACTGGAATAACGCTATGAGATGGAGTATAAGAAGATGTGGCTATGTCTCATTAATATATTTTGATTAATGACAAGATAGGATTTTCCAGACTAGAGCAATACCGTAATTCAGTGGTGGTGCTGGCAAAGAATACTGCAAGTTCCATGGATTATTAAAAGGACAAACAAATCTGTCTTAGAAGTACAATCAGAGTACTCTTTAGAGACAAGGACAGCAAGGTTGGTCTCACATGTCATTATGAGAAAGTAGTCACGGGAAAAGCCATCAAGCTTGGTGAAGTGGAGGGGCAGCAAAACAGAAAGCAGGCCTTCAAGTAGAGAGATCGACAGAGTGGCTTTTAACAATGGGCTCAAGCACAGAACGATTGAGAGAAGGGCACAAGACCAGGCAGTGTTTCATTCTGTTGTGCAGAGGGTCACTGTGAGTCGGAAACAACTTGACGACCCCTAACAACAATTTTTACAGCAGTTGACCATAGGTCTTTTGCTCCAAGGAGTGACTGGTTGGTTAAAACCATCAGCCTTTCTATTAACAGCTGAGGATTAACCATTAGGCCGTCAGAGTTCCTAATAGAAGCATCTTAAATAGATTAGAAAGCCCAGTGTTTCTCCTGTGGAGCTTCTGGTGGTTTCAAACTGCCAACCATAGCCCAATGTGTAACCCCTGTACCAGCAGAGCTCCTTAGAAGAACCCTAGTAGGGTTCTAATATATTTAGAAGGCGTATGTACCCTTTGATGACTATCATAATTCTCTTAGCCCAAATGGATGTGTGTGCACCCCCTGATGACCTAGAGACAAGTTCTAAAGGTTAGAGAACATTCATTTATACCAAAATTACATGCAAAGACGCAACCTCAGATAAGTTTACCAGGATGATTCGAATAAGGCAAAATATATATCAAGGCTGTGAGTTTCAGAATTCAAGACACATTTACCTTGGAAAGCAGCTGCATTTTGAGATATTAGAGATTTTAACGTAGAGCTGGATGTTTGAAGCACGTGCCGCATATCTTGGCTTGCTGCAACTTGATATTCTTCCTCCATCTTCTTGGTACAACATGTGGGGCTTTTGGATATGCAAACCTGAAGGTCAGATCCTAGAACACATATAATATTTTCCATCATTATCATCAGTTCACTTAACAAACAGTACATACTGCTTGCCTAACATTAAGATCAGCCCCACCACACACACAC